GTCTCTCTCTCTCTCTCCCCCCCTCTCTTTTTCTTTCTTTCGTTGTCTTTCTATTTTTCTTTCTCTCTCTCTCTCTCTTTTCCCTTCTCATCGCGTCCATCTCTTGTCGCAACAAGAAATGAACCTTCTCGGAGCTAGAAGGGACAGGGTGAGAACGCGCGCGGCAGCGCCTATCGTGCAGGCGCCACCGTGCTCACGGTTCCGCTCTCAGTCCGGCATCGAGAAACAATAATTACCTCTCACGGGTCCTTTGATGTCCCCCGACGTGTTCGCACCCCGCCCAGAAATCTTACATAGGTGTCCCGGGTGGCCGTAGAAAGTCACGCATACGTGCGAGTCCCGGGAGTACGTGAGAGAGATACCTGCTCCGTCTCTTGTGAACGAAAAATCGAAATAATCGTTCAATCACTACAACTTCAAGATTAATGATGCGCAATGTGCGAGAATTGATATTTTGGAAATAAGAAATGTCATGTTACTTCACAAAATCATTTAAGGATCACATATTATTATATATTATCGTAAGAAGTAGAAAGATTACCGCTTAACCATATGCCAATAGCTTAAACATATTTTACGGATTTATTTCGAACACCAATAATACGGATCCCAAATCAAGTGGGTAAATAAATATTTTTTAATTTAAATTACAATTAAAGAGAAAAAAAGAGGAAGAGAAAAAAATTGCAACGTAAAAAAGAGTGTATATATATATATATATATATACACTCTTTTTTATATAATAAAACGCTAACAAAGTTAATAAGAATAAACATTAATAAATTAGCAAAGTTTAACCCTTACCGTACAAGTGACCGAGCGATTCCTGTTCGTGCAAGTTCCTTTGAGGCTTTCGGTAATTATAAATTATACTACATTTTATTATCTTCCAAAATAAAATACCAATATTTGTTCTAGAAAGTTGAAAATATGTTGGTGAATTTTTACAGATTTTTTAAAATCATTCTGAATAGGTGAAACAAACGGACGGATTCTAGTGCTCCCGTTTGTATGGACGAGGCATCAACTTGTAGCTGATACGGTAAGGGTTAATTAATAATTTATGTATATATACAAGTTAAGTAGTTAGTTAATAAAAAAAAGTTAATAAAATAATAAAATAAATTCAAGAAGAACAGATTTATTATAATTGCCAAAAGTTTTTGTAAAGCTCCAGAAATGAGGAATTGAGCCAGAGAGATCAGATAAAAGTTAAAAGTCAGATAATAACGAGAGAAATTTATTGAGATACTATGATACTTTTTGAGAATATGCCACTTAAATATTTTTTTTTAATTTAGAGATTAAAATAAAATAGAAGCATTTCAATATCCCGGATTGGTAACAATTCAAAGATCTCCAAAGTAGTTCAAAAGTCTCAAAGATCTCGGGTAAATCTCACAAACGATGGAGTTAGAGAAAAAGTAATTCAAAGGCACATGATGGTAGAAAGCGCCAGGGATACATTCTTTAAGAGATAAATCCTGGATCAACTTAATACAGTTTAACATGATCCTCATTGATCCTCATTAACTAACTGAATGTAAACCAACAAAGAAGTTTTTCCTTAAAATTTCAGAAGTCTTTAGTTCAGTACCCTCTGAACCCCATTTTTCTCCATTGTAATGGAAACTTTTGAATCTGTTTCAAAATTCTTTTGTCACAAGAAAGAAACTTAGACACGCTTAGCGTTAGATTTTGCATCAAATCAACGAGAAGGCACGTAAGAAATGAAAGATAAATCTTTTTTTGAAAGAAAACTTCTGTAAAGAGAGTGATTTTAATTTTCGTCCTGTCTCCTCTCTGATCTGTTGACTGACATTTTATCGTAATAATGAACGCGAAAGACTCAATCTCTTTTATTTCATTATAAAAATGCTGTTGTAAATAAAAGAATTCGTTTTATATGCATATTATTTTTTTATCAATTTTATATGTATATATTCGAAAACATATAATAAAGGTAATTTCTATAACTATAGAGGTATTAAACAAATTCGTAAATTAAAGATTATACATGTATATAAAATTTCTTTGAGGCATCACATCTCAGTGAAATTCAAAGCACTGTCATAGTTTGCATTTTTATCTTTTAGCAGTCTATATATCTTGTTCTTTTCTTACGGTAGGCGTGGCGCAAAGATCCCGACAGATCGGAAAGGAGAAGTCAGAAGTCAGAAGGGGGTCGACATTGTTATCAAGACCATAGGTAGGCCCACCGTGCGCGTGGGACTATTTATTTTGTCGAGATGGCGGTGGCTAAGGGGAAGAGAGGCGGGTCCGCAGCATGTACAGGAGACAAAATATATGGGGTGGTCTGACTGAGTTTGCGGCAGGCCGCAACTTCATTTACACCTATTCAGAGCCTCCCTCTTGAACATGTGGCCTTTAGATTTACGAGCAACCACGTCTCACCTCTCTTTCCGTCACTCTCTTCCTCTTTCTTTTCCTCTCTCACTCTGATTCGGCTTCTAAAAAAGAGCACGATAATACACACGTCGTGCCGCCACAACGTGTGCAAACTGACTTCCAATTGACTGCTGGTCATTTGATTCTTGCTGAAATTATGGCTGCCATGATTGTAATAAAAGTATTTTAGCTACATATAATATTATTACACATACATAATTGTGTTCAGAAAATTACTTATTCAGGCGTGTATAAAGTTTAGAAAATTATATATTTTTAACATATATTAAATATATATGTTAAAAATGTACAGTAACTTTTCAAAATAATTACGAAAACATTATCGAAGATCGTGTAAATTAACAAGCCCACAAAATTTAATTTAACTAGAAATCACCAGTCTTTGTCCAAAGGTTTTAGCCATTATAGATGAATGTCACGGAAGTTTCGATGTGATCATGGTGGACCACAACGGGTCTTCCATAAAATTCGTTACGCTGTCCGGAACATCGTATGTAACCGTCGACAGTGAAAAGGGAACGGGAAGAGGCGAGTGAAGAGATGAGAAAAGGAAAGATCCTCGTTCTCGAAGAGAGGAAAATGCCCGGTACCGCCATTAGTATTTCACAACTACCTCATCACCTTAGGCCTCAGAGAAAAAAAGAAACTATCGCTTCTGTATCTTCCTTTTTATACCTTCGTTAAATTCCCGAAGAGTTCTCAACGTTGTACTCTCGTGACACACATTTTCGCTTAACACAAAAATCTTGAAAAAAAAAGATCTGCACAACAATTTTATCCAACAAAAATTTTATCTATCCTATAACTCTCGTACGTCAGACACATATGTATATTAAGTATCCTGTTATTTTAGACACATGAATATTTAAAAATCTATTTAAAGAAAAAGGAAACTATTTCATGCAAACATATGTTAATTATATTGTTATTATCCCATCCATACAGCACAGAAGCTTGCAACGACATTGCTGCAACATTCTCAATATTATTGTAATATTGTTGAAATGTTGCAATGTTGCTGAATAATCTATGCTGTATGCATGTATAAATATATAACACCAAAATTAGTATCCAGAAAAGACACTGTGTAGTTAGAACCGAAATGAAAATCATAAGTGCGTATTTAAAACATTCAGCATTGTCATGTTCTTTCATATTATTTCAAATTGCTGACTTTAAATTCATACAGTGATTCTATCGCTTAGTCCATATGCATGAAAAAATCGTAATTCAAAGATATATCGCGTGATTATTCGCGAGTTTATCTATGTTTAAAAAAAACCATGTGCTAAATCTATTTGTATAAAATCACAAAGTGGTCTTCATAATATTTATTTCTGGCAGCATTCAATTTCCTGTCGCGTTAAACATAAGGAAGATACACAAATATTGTTGTTACTAATGAATATAATAATCTTTCTGTCCATACACACTCTCTAAATTCTTCTAAAATGGAATCTCAGTCTAAAGAGTGAAAATTGAGTCAGCCTTTGAAACGAGTAACTCAGTTTTCAATCTTTTAAGAATGAGATTTCACTCTTTAGAGTGGACACTCACTCTAAAAGTTTCAGAGAGTATTATTGCGAGAGCGACTTTTATACAAAAAGACAAAGAAATTATATTAATAGTATATAAAAAATTCTGATTACATAAACTTCGGATTTATCATAAAAAATAAGAGAAAGCATTACGAATCGTGCTGAATAGAGGGTTTTTTTTTTAAACACGTAACGAGCATGATTCTATTTTAAGTCACGAGTGCAGGATGTATCTCCGTACAATAAATATGGCACGAATGTATGTAACATTAATACCAGACCAGACACCGTTTATCCAGACGCTTCGTTTAGTCGCCAGTAAAAGTGGCGGCGTGGCGCGGCGTATCGGCCGTGGATTCGTAGAAGCCGCGCGGCGCATTTGCGCGCATTTATACGTGCGTGCAACTCTTAGAGAGCGGCATTAAGTAATTATCATAAGCGTCGGCTTAAGTACGGTACAGACAGGCTGTCCATCACGCGAGTCCACGTCCTCGCTCTCGGCGATCATACATAGTAACGACTCACTCGTCCGTGACTTACAGGCGGGAACGATTATTTCTGCTTATGCTCGCGCGCGGAGGTGCGAGGAAAACGCACGACGCAAGGTAGGCATCAGCAAAAACACGATCATGCGAATCATCCACGATGAGATTAGGGTTGGACTCTAGGCGAACGGCGATTTTTCTTTTTACAGCGACGAGTTTCTGAGCGCATTGAGCCGTACGCTTCTCACTCTACGTTTGACACGAAGAGAATGAGTGAATCGCCAACAAATATTTGTTATTAGAGATAACGGGGTGATATATACGCGCAGATTATATTTTAAATAAACATGAAAATCTTAAAATATGCCTCGACAATCATTCAATGACGATAATAAGAAAAAAAACGAGATACGCAGTCGTGAACTTCGAGCTTCAGGCGAAACATGCAATCGTGTCTTCTCGACGGTGCAGCTGAACATTCCTCGAGTAATTACCTCGGATTTTGCTGGCTAACGATAAACTGCCTCGCCTTCCCTCCTCGGCAAATAATGGCGCTCCTTTCCTCGTTACCGCGGAAACATAGAGCAACGGATTAGCATCGTCTGTCTTTAAATCAACACGAAGGCCGTCCTTAAAGCGAACAAGAAAATTTCCTCCCCTCGCAATCAATATAAGGCAGTTATGTAATTTAACCGCGTTTTTCGATCTTGATTTTCTCGTCTCTGAATAACGCAAATACGTTGTGATTACTTCTTGTATCTACTTAACATCGTAATAAAATAGCTACTTAAATCACAGAATTTGAATAAAGTTCCCAAAAATACAAATATTTTACAAGAGTTTTATAAAATAGCATTTTTAGTTATATAAATGTTGCGTATTTCTGATCTTCGTTTTCTCAATCGTGCACGGAAAATACGTACACTTAGAGAAAAAATATTGTAGTTGGAACTATGGAGATAACATATACAAGATTTACATGTAGAAGTCATATATAATTGAAAATTCATACACAATAGAATTTGAATAAATTATATTTTATAATTGCAATAACTATATACAATAAGCTTACTCAACAACGTGTGTACACTCTAAATTTCTTACAGTGAAATCTCACTCTAAGAAAATGAAAATACAACCACTCTTGAAAAAAATGAAAATTTTACTTCTTGAAAAAGAATTACAATTTTTACTCTTTTTAGAGTAAATTTTCACTTCAAAGGAGTAAAATCTCATTCCAAAAAAGTGAGATTTCACTCTAAAAAAAAATGGAGATCGTTACTTTTCTTCAAGAAGTGAAATATTTTCACTTTCTTTCAAGATGCATTTTCACTCTTTTGGAGTGAGATTTTACTGCAAGAAATTTAGAGTGTATATTAACTCTATTATATACATAGCCTTATTTCTATACTATCACCTTATTTCTATAGTTTTTACTACTAATACGTCTTTCTCTGATCAGTGCAATCACGTATTCTACACATCTTCTCAATTCAAATTCGAACAGCTTTGAAGCTGAATTAAATATCAATCTGTATCCCAATTTTTTTCAAACATGAAAGTTTCGGTGCCATAAAAAAGTAAAATCTAGAAATGTTAAAGCATATTTATGACATATAATTTGTGTGACTCAGATTTTGTATATAATTAATGATAAAATTCCTGTAAATATTCAGCCTTCTCTTTTCTATCAACAACTCGTCAAAGTACAGTGACTGACAAAAAATTAATTAAAATTGTTACACCAAATTAGATGCATCAGCGCGCGCAGCTCATTTCATCAATCTCATTTTTGACCTCGTTATTTATATTACTAGGATTACTATATCATTGATTCGCCTCTTAAGCTACTCAAATTACACGTTATTCGGTAAAAGGGCAAACGTACATATTGCCCATGATTTTCATCGCATCTATCATTACGGGAGAGAATGCATTTACTGCGCGTGCTCGCTTTCTCGCTTTTATTCTTATCGTCTATAGGTGCGAAACGAACGATACGACCAACACAGGTCATTTTCCTTCCCTTCAGATTATCGCATCGAGATAAATAAATTTGTTAACGTAGGTTGACAAATGTTTGATCTCGTTTAACATCGTGGTGTCAACATTTACGCAGCAACAATAACGACAATAATTTCCGTGAAGAATGCATAAAATCAATACATTATAATACATTATATTATATGATAAGTTATATATATTTAATCAATTTAATTTAATTTTAATATTGTAACGTTTTTAATTTTATTTTTATTCAAGAGTACCATTGAATTGCATGACTTTCTTTTAAAACATTTTATTGAAAACAAAATATTTTATTCTAAAACG